ATTCTTCCAATGACATTATCATCTGTATACTTTTTTCTCCAAAAAAAAAACGCCTATTTTTTGAAATATGTTAGAACGATTTAAAAATCGAATTTTTAAAGCAGGTAAAAATTAACAAGATTTTTGCTATTTACTTAGGGATTTGTATACCTGCAAACGTTATTTGACAAATGCGGAGATTAGATTCAGGCAGATGTAAATAATTATTTATGATGCTGTCTCTAAGTAACAAAACTAACCAAAACTAACCCAAATTGGAGCTGAGCAAAAGGTTAAGGTAAGGACAGCCTTAGGGTTAGTTTGGGATAGTTTGTTAGAGACAGCATCAAATAACTAGGCAAATAGCAAAATCTTATTAATCATTAAGTTTTTTGCTACTTTCCATTCCACTTAGTGAACTACTAGAATTAAAATTGCTTTACGATTTGACTACCAGAACCAAAATTAAACTAATACATATTATCAAGTAGCTTGATGGTGAGGAGCCAGGAAAACTCAAAAAGATATTCGAGACTGTAGGCGCGAGTCGCGAGTATCGAGCATACGGTAGTCCGAGTGATTTTCGTACTACCGTGCGCTTGATACGTGCCGAGGTCGGGTACCCCGAATGCGGGTTGCTGGACGCTCGATACAAAAATGCGCCCCGGGCCCCGAAATGAGGGGGGCCCCAAAACATCACCTCACACGGGGAAGAAATCATGCATATAATTTTAAGGGCCCCACAGACTGCGTTTCTGTCTGACGGTTTTGTTCAACGAGCAAATCTGGTCGAGCAAAAACGCTGGATCGGAGTTGCATATACACCTTGGTTTAGTTTGGTGAAGATCCGTCATATTGGAAAGTTTTTATGATTTTTAAGTTAATAATACAAAATTCTATAGCTACGCACCATACACCAAACAAAACCATCGTTTTCAAAATTCTTAGCCCACACACTTCCGATTTGTTGACATTTCGAACATATCCAACGGACAAAATCAGGTGAAGCCAGATATTTGCATCGGTTTTGTATGTTAGCAAAATCGACAATTTTTCGCACAGACACTTCGGTTTTGTGTGGTTTTTGCTCGATCAGATTTGCACGTACAACAAAACTGTCCAACAAAAACGCAGTATGTGGGCCCCTTTCAATTTAAAAAGAGCGTTAACCAATAACCACCAGTCATTCTGTAATCATAACTTTTTGGCGTTAATATGCATAATATCAAAAATATTTATATGAAAAAATTGTAGAGAACTAGCTGATCACATCGCAAAAATTTTAATTTTCAAATTTTTTAATTTTAATTTTGATTTAAAAAACAAATTTTAGAAATGTTACTAAGTACGGCGATAGTGGTGGATAATTCAGAAATGTACAATGTGACAAAAAAAAACGAATCACTCACTAAAAGTGTATATTTTATTAACAAAGTTTCTTGGTATATACAAACTGGGTAACAAAAAAAAATGCATCTCCCACCAAAAGTGTATATTTTTTGAACAATTTTTTTTGGTCTTGGTCAAAACTAACGTATACCTATGTAGAAAATTTGTTAAAAAAAATATATAATTTTCGTGGGTGATGCGTTTTTTTTGTCATTCAGTATATTTATTCAAGAAAAAAAATTTCCAAATCAAACAGTTTGTCCAAAATTACATTTTTTTAACCTGCAAGGTAAAGTTTTGAGTAACGTTTGAATTTATTTCAGGGACCTAGGGGCCCCTTTTGTGAAAATAGCCCCGGGCCCCAAAAGACCTTAATCCGACCCTGGCAAAAACTACTATGCCCCATGTTTTATAATAAATTGCCAAAAGAAATAAGAGCCCTGAATTTGAGTGAATTCAAGACTAGAATTAATTTTTACTTGTGTCAAAACGCTTTTTATGATATAAATAGAAACATAGACCTATCTATTTTACCAGACAAAGAGGTAATAATACGAAAACTTCATTAAATAAAAAAGACACAGAACGTTCATTGCGAAAGACGAGGCAAAATGTACCAAATTATGTTAGACTTACGTATAGAAATCCGTCCTTCTTATTTGCACAGGATAAAAAGGAAAGAAGAAAAACCGCGTGTTGTGCAACGTATTTGTCAATGAAAATGTCAAACAACTTTTGAATAACATTTGCCAAGTTGAATATCAACTTTAGATTTATTCTTGTCAGACCACGTGCAATGAACAAGGACAAAGAGATCTCCAGCGTGCAAAACGATCACCTCACACCTGTATTGGCTAGCCAATAAAAAGAAATTGCCTCGTGTTGCGCGCGCATAACAAGTAAAAATAGATAGGTCTATTTCAATTTTATGATTAATATTGAGAATAATGTTTGACGAAGCTATAGTATGGCAAGTTTATGTAATAACTATTGTACATGTTTTGCAGTTAATAAAGATCTATCTATCAGCCCACTCAATTGTAGAACTACTCTCATTATGCTTGCAATAGGACTTCTTCTTATTCAACAATTCCGTGTATCAACAGCCCCATGGCTTAGCCATGGGAAATCCATTAAATAATAACATTGATGTACTGATTGATTTATTAATTTGACTTGTGTAAACACTGTGTTTGTGTAATAGCACTAATAAAGAATTTGAAAGAATTTGAAACTTCCTAGACCTTAGTGAAAAACGTCAATAACGCTTTTGAATATTCAATCTTAGAAAGCCAACTCAAACTAATCATATGATCCGACCACAACACAACTCATCCAACCATTCATATTGTCATAAAATGGCAGCCCTTCATTGTTATATTAATAGAATGCTGAACATGCTTCTAATTTAATTAACTCTAAAAAAAAACTTCCACATTTAAGTGAAGGTGGAGTTTATAAAAAAAAGTTAAATTGCGCGGATTGAAATTGTTCTTACATGGGCAAGACGATAAGATCCTCATCTACAAAAATTAAGGAACGCGTTACGAGGCCGAACACTTCAGTATTCGGCCATCACCTTAATTATTCCGGGCATAATTTTTTACCTACATCTAACAGCAAAATTCTCCACCATATTGTCAATACCAATAACAATTTAGAAAAATTGACTTGAGGATTTTGTAATTAAAAGAGAATCTTCAGAGAACTCAGACTGTTTAAACTTGAAACTCAACATAATTAACGACAAGGACCAAATCTTCAATCTGTTCACATAATTCCCTACTTATTCCTCCTTTTTCTTTAATTTATATTTAGTAGGCATAAGTTTTTTTTATTGCTAATATTGTTTCCATTTTATATTTATTTTTATTTCTACCGACTCATAGACGTCACCTCTGTGTAGTCAGCTTAGACAGGAACACTGTAGATGTAGAAGGTACTAACATGGTATTTACTTGAATTCATTTGTAATTCCTAATTTCAAATTTTTGATTTTCAATTTTTAGTTGTTTTGAATCTAGTTCTGTTAAATTGTATTGTCTGTTCGATATTTTTATTTTTTTGAGTGCTCTTGTGTCTAGAGATTGAAGTTTACCGGTAATTTTCATTTGTTCTTTCTCAGCGGTAATTTACCGGTAATTTTTCGGTAATTTTGGTAATTTTAGTAATTTTGGGAATATTTTACAAAATAAACAATTAAGACCATATACTACATATACGTTCAAGGATTATTTACCCTTATGCAAAGGTTCGTCGTTTTTGAGATATCAGCATTTCTAGATATTTTTGAACTGTTCCTAAAACAAGTATTGTTTTTTTTTTGGTAGTAAACACTTTACCCTTTCTCAATTTTTTCTCCGATATTCCTAGTCTGTACTTTTTCAGAAAATACGGAAAAAAAACCGAATAATTGATACAAAAAATATGTAACCCAAGTTACCTATGTGTTAAGTTAAAATACATGGATTCAAAAGATCTAAAAATGCCAATATCTCAAAAAACGGTGAAACTTTTCATTAGGCTAAATATGGTCAAATAGTTTCCAAATGACCCCAACTATCACTAATTGAAATATTCCTATCGATGTACCAAACACCCTGTATACTTACAGGATTTTTTACCTAAACCAATATTCTCTAGTTTTTATTCTCATCGGTGACTTCACTGGTGAGTAACCTATCTTTGTTTAATGAATGGAAAATGACAATGACGGCCATAGAATGGTGGATTCATCAGTAAAATTTGATGAGAATAAAAACGTAGGGTATTTTATTTGTTGTAAAACTTAACCTCATAGAAATATTGGAATAAACAAATAATAATACCTAATTCCTAGAACGAAAAACGAGTAAAGAAAATCAAACACCTGGAAAAACATTACACATAACTCTTGCAGAGAATGTCTTTTCCACCCTTGACCACATCCCTTAACAGCTTGCCAACTGCCGTCGCGGGCGGAAAAGCACCACTTTCTGCACTTGTTAGGTAAATAACTATTTGTTTATGCCAACCCTGAAAGCGCGTTATACAGATTCACAACTAGATGGCGAATAATGCATGAAAAAGATTGTCGCCTGAATGTGATTTCATTCAGGGAGGTTTTCTGAAAATTACCAGTAAAGAAATTTGTCGGGTTAAATTACCAAAATGACCTTACCAAAATTATCGTTACCGAGGTAACGTTACCACACTTCAATCTCTACTTGTGTCTATTGTCTTGATTGTTGTGCTGTAAGGGAGTTTCGATTCTTGAATCATAGAGACTTATTGACATATATTCTATATTCCATGCATTAGTGTTACTCTCAAGTTCGCCTGGATGCCTTATGTATAAACCCTAATTGTCGAGTAAGTTAGCTAATAATTTACTTGTTTTTTGTAATGTTTTATTTATCATCTTCTATTTATTCTTAGAACCGATCCTGAAGATGACCTATAATTAAGTCGAAAGTGCTCGGTCGAATTTAATAAAAAATTACACCATTACAAACCTTACTCATTCTTTATCGACTCACTTGGTGTACATCCTGCCCACCCTCTTCTCTTCATAAGTATTCAAAATTTCAGCTCATTCATATCAACAACAAAGCATTTCTTATAAAAACTTGACAAGGAGTAATTGATCTTACCTGTAAAATTTGATGTAATTTTTTAGGCTTTAATTTTCCTTTGGCTTCAACTAAATCTTGTATTTCTTCCAAGTACCTTAGCAATTGTTGTTCTTTATTCCTAGACGTTTCCCATGTAGGATCATATAGAGACGCTTCATGAAATGATTCTAGAGCTAATTTAAATTCTTCTTGATATTTGAAAGCCTGAAAACAATAACATAATAGTTTCATCTCAATAAAAACAATAAATTATACTTACGATTGCCTTATTATAATGCAAATCTGATGTACTCTTAGCAACAATATCTTTTTCCTAAAATAAATAGCATGTAGGTAATCAATCACTGCTTTTTTATTTGATATTTTTGATAAATACCGCTTGAGTATATGCACCTAAACACTGTCTTAAAGTATTTGGACTTTGTTGTACACCAAAAAAATAGCAGAGATGAGCATTGCCCAAAATTGCCCATGATAATCCATCTTGGGGGTCAAGTTGTACAGCTTCCTTGGCATAACTTAAACCTTGTTTGATATTATTTAATTTGTCATCGTTACTTTTGCAAGATTCATGTCTTAATATTATCGAGAGGTTTCTTAATGAAATTTTATTTCTTTTCTAAAATGGAGATTATTTTGCTTATAGTAAAAACAGAAAAATTTTCTCACCTCTTTCAATGCACCCTCAAAACAACTTTTAGCCTTTGTAAGATCATCATTTTTACAGTAACACTCTCCCAACTCATTCCAAGCCTCCAGCAATTTGGGATCCAATTTAATTGCCTTTGACAAAAAAAATTCAGCTTCTTTCGAGTAAGTAGGGTAAACATTGAGCAATTTACCTTTGAGAAAATTATAATAGGCCTTATTTTCTTCTAGAGCTGCCTTCTCGTGCTTACTGAATACTTCAACGTTTTGATTTATAAGTAATTCTATATCTCTGTTTTTATTTATAGCATGCTCTATGCCGTGGCTCTCAAAATATCGGTCTCTGTAGTTATAGGTTTGATCAACGATACTCTGTAAATTGATAAAGATATTACTATTATTAGACATGTTTGTTGAGCTTGAAATCATAGCGAATAAACTATTCAGCATGTTGCCTGTTTAGAAGCTCCCAATTAGGAAGTAACGGAAGTGAAACAAAAAAAAAAACCTTCAAGGCATCTGTTACAATACATACAATTAAAAATTGAATTATATCGTCATGACCTTCGGCACAATCACAGGTTCTTTGCAAATTGGATAAACTCATTTTATTGTTGCACTTAATGATTATTTTATAGTATTTTAATTCATACTTATTAAAAGAATTATTTATTGAAAATTCAAACTGAAAGACAAAACAACAAAAGTTAGGTTAGAAAAGAGAGTGAAGTCGCAATGTCAAACTACTTTTTGGAAACTTTGAGAAGCTTGGCAACGTTGTCTATGACAAAATCGGAAAATCGATGTCATAAAAATATGGGCGACAAGCGAGATTTACTGCGGGCATACAAACAAATATCGTCGAAAAACTTTTCTCTCTTTATCAGTGGCCTATAAAAATATCTATAGGATATTTTAATTAATCGATTATCGGAAATAAATCGATATTCTTCTAAAATCGATATAACGTGCGCATATTTGCACTGTTCGCGGATTACACGATTCCGAACTAATCCGAACCAGGAGAAACACATACTCAGAACTCTCTACGAGTGAATGCCGCTTAAAACTGCTCCAAGCCGTGTTCCTTTAAACAAGCTCCGGAGCTATTCGTTCCGGGTAACTCCCAAAAAGAACGGCTCAATGGAATTTAGTAATCCGCAAACGCCATAGTTGGAACTGCACATGCGAATCAGTTCTGAATCCTTATCAAGAACGAAGGAATATGAAACGAAAGGGTTTTGCTTTTCACTCCGTGCACTTTAGGTACTCCGTGGACACTTCGAGCGTTCGGGATAGCTTTTTTTCGTAAATGGGGTAACTACATTCATATTCGCCTCTTGTTCGGCTATAATCGAGAATAAATGGAACTCACTCCAAAGGTTCCATGTCCGGAAAGGAGAGTGAACTAAACAGCCGTTTAGGTTCTGGTGAACGCAGAGTTGTACCTGTGGTTGTACACTCACTTCTGCAATGTTGCTTGCCAGCTCAATATTCGATATTAAGCCGCATCCACACTTTTCGGGATGTAGCATTTGACAAGTTTGGCTGCTGCTGGACTCTGGACATTATTGACATTTATCTGACAGATCAGATCTATCAAATGGAAAATATAAATATTTGTATATAAAAATTGAAAAATAAGCTTGGAAGCAGCTTTGTTATTTGTTAATTATTGTTTTATTTTAATATTTTAGGCTCGCGTTTGCTGTTCGTGTATAATGTGAAAAAATATAAACCAGGATTTCTTTCTATTTAAACTATTGGAATAATTGGCCCACCAAAGGCCTTTTTTTGAAAAAATGGCTGATGGTCAAGGAAACATAAATAGACCAAACACGGGCACAGTGCCAAAAAAAAAGTATTCCAACAATGCTATGGCCGTTCATTCTACAAACGACCAATCAAAAGGTCCAAGGATGTCCAACAATCTAGTAAGGCATAAGGCACACATTTGATTTTCAGTTAATAATGCCAATGTTGCATCGAAGGTGTTCTAAAAATAATAGTGTATAAATAGTACGATATGAGTCTGAACTAAATTGGATTATTCTTTCTAGACTTCCTCATGGCATGTGCCAGTCGATTCAAATTTTATCCACAATAAACGCAGAAATCAGAGAAATAGATACTCGACAATGGATGTTGCATTGGACCGGGGAGAAATACCAAATGGTATTGGGAATTATTCAGGTAAGTGTCCCTTTTGGTCAAAGATTCACATTTTTATAATACTAAATAATTTGCTCCATGTAGAATTTCCTAGAAAAATATGAAAACATTTTAGGAGGAACTTATACTTGGTACTGTTCGACTGCTTTAATATGTTTGTTCCCATAAAAGGACATTCCTATTTTTTTATACAGATCAAATAAAAGCAATGTTAAACTTATTTCTTACAGCGGTAAATTCTTTATCTGGTTTTCTTACGAATTGGAAAATCTGATTTTTCAAAAGAATATTGCTTACAAACAAGCAGTTGAATAGGTAGTGAACTGGAAAATTTTGCATTTAACATACTGCCAATATTTTAATTCAAAAGCTATCGGCCTTGGGTATCCATGGTACACTTCTTTCTTGGATAAAAAGTTTTCTTACTGATCAAAAGCAAACTGTCAGAGTGCACAACTGTCTTTCTGACACAATTCATGTTACATCAGGGGTTCCACAGGGGGGACATTCCAAGCTGACTCTTCGATATTCTTTAATTGTTTTCTGAATGATATTTTATTCTGTGGATATTATACAATGTTTTAAAAACTGTGAAGTTCTTTTTTACAGTGATGACCTGAAAATGTTTAGAGAAGTATCAAGTTTGTACAAGATCTATACTTTATTTTTTCCCAAGATAGATTTTGACATTGAAAACTTTGAAACATAAACAATAACGCTTGACCCTAAGTAATTGGTCGCAAAATGAGGTGTTTCTGCAGGTTGACATCAGTTTTACAATAGCGACCAATAGGCGGCAATAGTGGCATTGTTTATGTTTCAAAATTGACAATGCCAAAATCTATCTTGGAAAAAAATAAACCATAGATAGATTTTATCATTATGTTTCGCAAAATTGTTTAGATTTAAATATTGACAAATGCAAAATAATACTCTTTTATAAAATATCAAAACCATTTCAATTTAACTACAATTTCAATAATATCAATTTAGAAAGTGTTAATAAAATAAAGGACCTTGGAGTTATAATGGACATATCATTATCTTTCGGAGATCATATTGAATATGTAAAAAATAAAGCTTTGAAAATGTTAGGTTTTGTTAAGCGCAGTGTTTCGGACTTTACTAATATCTATAGTTTTAAGAATTTGTACTGCTCTCTTATTAGATCTGTTTTGGAATATGCTTCAACGGTTTTGTCTCCTTTCTATGATGTTCATATTACTTAATAGTTTAGAGAAAGTACAAAGAAAATTTTTCAGATTTATAGGCTACAAACTTAGCATTCCTGTGGAGTCAATAGATTACCATGACATTAGTAAACTATTAAATTTACCAAAATTAGGAGATAGAAGAGACTTTCTAGACCTAATTTTTTTATACAAAATCTTAAATGGATTGATAGATTCACCAACTTTATTACAAAAAATATCGTTTACTGTTCCTCAGGTCAACCTAAGACACCATGAACTATTTTTTGTTGAATATCATAGAACAAATTATGGCCAAAATATTCCTACAAATAGACTATGTAGAATTGCTAATGATATTGCAAATGAAATAGTTTTTTTCGAGGATTTTTTCAACTTAAATTTAAGCAGATTCAGATTACAGATTAAGCATAGAGTTCTTTAGATGGTTATTTATATTTATATTTATCATTATATTTATGTTCATTGTGTATCTATACCTTTGTACTTTTTGAAATGGTTAATCCGTTAATAAACCTTTACTTTACTTTACTTCACTTTACTTATACTGCAGAGGGATTTTATAAACCTTACCAAGGAGTGCTACAAATTATTCATGACTGATGTTGAAAGAGCCACAGGCACTAATGTGAAAATTTTTTGGAACTTTATTCATTACAATCTAATCAGGGTCCTATTATTCCTAAGGAAATGTTTCTGGCCACAGGAAAGGCATTGATATAGTTAGTCTTTTTGGTGTTTATTTTTCCTCTGTCTATAACCCTTGGAGAAATTCCAACACTAGAACTTTTGCTGATTGATCCCTCTATTGAATGTTTTAACAAATCCTTAACTTCTGAAATTTTTCCAAAAATGTGGATGCTCTCTTATGTTTGTCAGTTTGTCCTATTCACAGTATTCACAAGTCAGACAGCAAGAATGATGTAACAAAATAGGTACCAATCTTAGAGCAGGTAAAGGTAAAGGAGTAGTAACCTGGATTTGGAAAATGAAGCCGTTTTTTTCCAGGTATTTTGGCCCACAAAAAATGGCGGTTATGGCAATTCAATGCTCTACCTGTATTTTGGTGCCAAACACCTGCCAAAAACTTAGCTTCACTTTAGTTTCATAAGCAGAATGGCACGTTCCCTACTCCTTATGTCCGTAGGACAGCGCTTTACCTGCTCTAAGGTACCAATAGTAGGTACAGACCTATCGGCCTCCTGTATACAATAATTCCTAAATTGTTTGAGCTGTGCGTTGAAAAGATCCTTTCAAAAATATTTCATCAGACTGTGATCAGCCACAGTTTTACAACTAGTAGTTGTTGACACGAACCTGTTTCTTTTTACAAATTTTATAAATTCATCTTGATAACAATCAGTGGCGGATTTAGCATGAAGCAAACGACGCACTGTGCGTCGGGCCCCCAGAGCTGAGGGGCCCCCAAACAACCAGATTCTAAAGGGACCGATAAAAACAAATAAAAAAAAATTAACTCGTAGATATAAAAAAAAAAAACGAAAATTAAATTTTGAAAGAGACGGCAAGGTTGTATACCAGGATGCCTATTCTTGAAACCGGGGAACAGCGTTCTCACGAGAAAGAACGATTGCTCAGTCTTTGTCAGTGTTATCTCCTGTTTCGACAATAAAGGTCCTGTAGGGAATCCAGGGCTGGAATCGTGACAAGTAGAATTCCACTTTCATCACGTTATTCGCGACTCATTTATCGCGTACAGTACAGGCGATGATGACAATTGTTAGGCAACCTGACGTCATAAAAGAGAAATACTAGTAGAATGTCGTAATCCCAGCCCTGATGCACTCGACGCGATAATGCGGCAACCGCGGACGCGTCGACTTTAGGCGGCCTTTTTAGCTATAAGGCAATTTTTCGCAAGGAAAATCAAGCATAATCTGATTATCCCTGCGGTTTTATTCTCATCAAATTTTACCGATGGGTCCACCATTCTATGACGGTCATTGTCATTTTCTATTCACTAAACAAAGATAGCTAACTCATCGGTGAAGTCACCGATGAGAATAAAAACGAGGGGTATGCTGGGTTATGTGATGTGTCAATTGTAATTGTATCATATTCCCCTAACTCCTCTACATCAAATTCTGGGCCTGCGAGTGACGTCACTACTATCAGCCGCTTGTAGTGATGACGACACCCGCAGACCTCGATGGAATGCTTGCAATTCAGGCTGTGCTAGTGTTAATTTTTTCGTCGATTTTAAATGTAGAAAAGGTAATTTTCCTTGATCCTCGAGTATCCCAGAATTTGATGGTGGGGGCGTTAGGGGAGTATGACACAAATGACACATCATATAATCCAGCAAAAGATTATGCTTGGTTATCCTCGCAAAAAATTACCTATTGTCTTCCAGACTCAGATAATTTATGGCACTTGTCGGTGAAGTACGGACAGTATCAGTGCAGTGCGGTACTACTATGATGTATTTCTTTTTGTTTAGATAAAAAGTTCCTGAATTTTTATAGTTTTTTTTTTTCCTTTAACTTGTTTTCTGTCTTATATGTTCTTGATAAACTTGTTTTTTGATTAAATTTATTTCTATATTTGGTTGTTAAAAACTTCAAAAATATAAAAATAACTTCCGCACACTCACTTTAAAGCCCAACACCACAAGAAAAATACCTAAAAAAAGCATGATAGGCCCCCAAAAAAATTTTTGCGTCGGGCCCCAAAGGTCCTAGGTCCGCCACTGATAACAATGCAGAAACTCATGCAATTGGTGTGTGAACAACACACGACGTGCACGCGTATTAATTTTGCTCTATAAAATTTATAGTTTTTCAGTAGTATTTCAAGGTTTATTGAAATTGGAAAATTATGTCTGAAAATAGTGGAGGTGGTAAACCTAATGTGCAGTTTAGGAGATCATCAAGCGTTAGAGTAGCCATAAGAAATCGATCTTTTTCACTGGGAAGCATGGAATTAACCAGGGATCGACCGATACGGTTTTTTTTTGAAAAAACCGATATTGCCGATACCGATACGATATGGCTTTATAGAAGGCCGATACCGATATAAGGCCGATACGGATTCTCGCACCTTTTCCTTTAGTTTGAATGTTTTATTTGTTTTCTCGCACCTTTTCCTTTAGTTTGAATGTTTTATTTATTTGTTTTCTTCTAGTTTTAATATTCTTTGTTCGAGTTCAGATAAGCAGAAAGTTTAGTTTTTTTTTAAAATAAATAAATAATTTTGAATTTGAGTTTAGATACGCAGAATGTTAAGTTTTTTTTTACATAAATACCTAATTAATTTAAAATAAATTTATGAAAAACAATTTCTAATATTTACTTTCTTCTTAGTCACTCCCATATGTACGAACCACAATTATTAGCTCTTTTAAGCTTCAAAAAAACCTTAGTGATGATTACTGATCTTTTAAAATATGATTTGTATCGGTCTAAAGTTATCGGCCAATGAAGGGCCGATATACCGATACACCGATATACCTGAAAAAGGCCGATACACCGATATACCGATATGCCATATCGGTATCGGTCGATCCCTGGAATTAACAGCAGTCGATATAAATGAAATTGTATTGAGCGCAAAGCGCAAAGGTCAACACAGACATTCCAAGCAGCAAAATAGTGCGCAAGATTAAAGTAACGTAAACAAACATTCCAATCGTCGCTACCAGGGTCATCCAAGAATGTTTCGACTGTAGAACATAACAATGAATATGAAGATGTATTTAGACCAAAAAATCGCAAGGAAAATGCTGCAAAAAATATAGAAGCAGCACCTGTAGACCAAAATTCTAACAAAAGCCAAAGATCTGACACAAGT